GGGGCGGGAAGGAGGGGAAATATTACAGATGTAAAAATAATTCTACAATTTTCAAGTTTACTTTTTATTTCTAATTTGGAATTGTTTTTGTTACAAATGTATCAATTTGTGTTAGAAACATGTGATACTACTTTGGACAACCTTGATCTGGTTTTCTTTTGATGTATTTGGCAATATGGTATTATCAATACCTTTGTACTCCCAGTCTGATTCTGGGTTCTTTCATACATTTAGCCTAAGTCAGTAGTTCTGGTGTCGTTTTGTTCATTATATTGTATTTTGCAAAAATGTTTCCTTGTATGGTCTCTGCCTTCCCACTAACTTTTTCTTTGAAGTTTCTGCATCTAAGACTCTGCCATATTCATGATCTTTCTCAAAACACTTAGGTATTGGGCTCATGTTGAAATACTCTGACCTGAATCCCTGTACTCATTGAGTTCAGGTGCTCAGCCTGCCAGATCAAGAGACAGAGTACAGGACAGGTAGTTTGGCAGTTTATCTTAAAGTGATGAAACTTCCAAATCTGGTAATTCTCTTGTTTATTAACAAACACATAATTTTCATTGTTAAACAAAAATTCCTTGATTCACAAGCTTCCATTTGTGTTTGAGATAGCCAAGGCACTGATATACAGCTTTAGGGTGATTTTTTCCATTTAATTCAAATTAAACAGACCATATTAATGCAAAATTACCACCAAGATGCTAAAAGTCCTGCTGTAATTTTCATTTGTATATTCTAAGAATTTATTTCCCAGTATCCCAGTTGAAATTAGTATTTAACAGCACCTTGTCCTAAACTAGCTTCCTCCACTATTTTTCTTTCCACTATATCTCCATCACATTGTCCTTCTTCCAAATGAAGAGCATAAGGTGTTGAGCAAGAGAAACTATGGATCAGCTAGAAGCAGATGCTTCATCCACTGTGAATCTAACACCTTTGCACTGGGGTGCATCCCAGCCACAATACACCTAAATTATTTTTAATACCAGGACAACTCAAAGGAGATTTCAAAATTTTTTCTCCATACATGGCAGCAAAGCCCAAAGTTAACACAAAAAAATTGGTAATATGGTCTTTATGAATGCTTCTCTATACTGAAAATACACATGTTGCTGTTAAGAGGTGTCAACTGATCTAATACTACCAAGAACACACACCTGGAAATGCTTAGCTTCAGCTGCTCCCACATTCTCAGTCAACATATCCATAATACATAGTAATGAATCACTGTATCTTTGAGGCAGTATTGATTTATAAGAATGCTGGCATACAGAGATATGCCATAGTGAAAATAAGGGCCTGTCCTGAAATTTAACACTTTTGTATTATTTTTCCTCACATAGATCAGATTGGAATTCTAAAGGATCTATTTGGTCATTGACATACAAATCATAATTCCCAATGAGGTCACTTGGAATTACTCCTAAAAAACCCATCCCTTAGCACCATATTTTTCAAGTTCTCTTTATACTGAAAAGATTTGCAAAGGAAGAGAGGGGCAGGGAGAAGGACAGGCTTGTGCCGTTTCTTGCTTCTTTATGATCTATGCGAAGGCCCTACATTGTTTTCCCCACCACCACCACCTGTTCACTTTTACCTTCAAAACAATAAGGCTTGTATTTTCTGGTTTTGCTGTAGGTCTTCTTGGAGGACCCAAACATGTAGACTGGGAGCCTTCCTAGCCCTTAACTGAATGCTCGGGGTCTTGAATCTTTGAGAAAGATCTTTTCTTCCAACTGTTAAGTATATGAGTTAAACAGATTTTAACAAAAGCAAATGATAAACAAAGGGTTTTAAAACATTTTGAATAAAAGTCCCATCTCTTTTCAGTTAGTGAAACCTCATTATGTTCTTCAGAAAAAAAGGAAGGCATGACCTGATATTCTAACATTAAAAGGAAGGGGAGAGAGAAAGGAAAAGAAAAACCCCAACATCTCAGCCCTTTATCCAGGATAAAAGAAGTATATAAAAAAGGGGGTCTTTTTACTTCACAATGAATTAAATGAATTGAAGTAATACAAGCGAAGGACTGAACCCTTAAACTTAATGACTTTCAAACTATGGCAGGAAGAAGAAGAAGAAACCTATGTGCATTCTTCTGTTTTTTAAACCCTGTTTTAATTTATTACTTATGTTAATATTATGGAGTACCAGGAAAGATTCTTTATCCTGTTACTAGCACATTGTAAGTGTAAATCCAGAAAAAGCCACCTGAAATAAGCAAATACTGAAAATTGAGTCTCTAAAGTATTTGAAATTATACATTCTGCAAAACATACTTATCAGGAAAAAGTACAAACAAGAACTAGAGAAGTGAAAAGACTTCAAGGGAGTAATACAAAGGATGAATTTGTGCCACTTAACAAGCCTATAGTAGCCGTTGTTTTAATTTACTGTAGATTTAACCAAACAGATAAATACAGCTTTACTTTGAGCAAAGAGTAAAATGTTAAAATAATTGGGCTGAAAGTGTTCCCACTGAAGTCTATTACAAACATTTCCATTGACTTCAGTAGAAACAGGATGAGCCTTTCATTCAGCAGCAATATCAAAGGTAGGTAAAAGCACTTAATTGCATAAAAGCACTACTCACTCCAATACAGTTAAATTATTTTTAACATTTAAAAACAAGGAATAGTCCTGCATATTAGAACTGCAAAAACGATACTTGGAATAAATGACTATACTATTACTATGTCCACTTCAGTAATGAAAGAAGTATGTGAGTGGTCTGATTTCATTAGTATGGGGTACTGTGTCCAAAAAAGGAGATGGGGTGGAGTGCAGTAAGCAAATTTTGCCAAGATTCACACCTCATGCAATTTTGCACAGGGTGTAAGCCATGGTGGAATCTGGTCTCTCTCATTCTGAAATACTGATGGAAGAATTACAAAAAAGTTGTAAAACTTGGCTTGGCCCAAAAAACTTTCCAAGACCCACCAACTGAAATTTCAATTGGTTTGCAGTGCAGAATTAAGAATGGAAAAACTTAAGATACAATAATGATGATTATTTTTCTACATTTGGATAGCTGTAACTTATAAGTTAGGTGTTGGCAAGCACAGTGGTCTGATTTATAAAACTATGTATTGGCAAAATACTTTCTGCCTTAATTGGGGAAATATTTATTACACGTTTCAAATTCATATCATATAACATTTGTCCAGCTGCAATCTCAAGATTTGCATTAATCTTTAAACAATGTGGGCAGTTTGTCCCTCCTGGTGTTCACAGGATGTAGACCATCATTTTTCCCAGTCTCTCAAAAACTCCAAAATTGGAGCAAACTGAAAGACTATTATGACTTCTACTTATTTTCCCTTTCAATTCTCTACCCCATGCTATTCATTTGTAGGAAGATGACTTAATATTTCCACAAAAGTAGACTCCAAGAAGAATGTGTTTTTGCAGTTTATTAGAAGATACAAATGATGATGTTTCAGTAAACAAATGTGAAAAGTGGCCTTCATAACAGCTTTCACATAATGAGTTTCCAACAAAAGAACAGGATAAATATAATTTATCCTAATTAATTTAATTCTAGCTGTATGCAATATTGTACTTGGTTGCCTCACTTTTCAGGCTAAACTCTGGGCTAATACATAACCTATACAATTCTACTTCAGACAATGGAATGGCAACCATGTACATTAGCACAGAATTTTGCCCTATTATTATTAATGAATTCTTACAATAAACCTTATTATGAGGTTTCTTAGATAACCTTGGGAAAAAATAGATGTTATCAATTTTGGTAAACACAAACCAACAATAATATTTCCATCAATAATAACTGGAATTCACAGACAAGCAAAGTAAGAAAAATGCTACTTGAGAACTTCTTAAGAATTTGAGTTAAGGTTGTTTACTTTGTATGTTTTGACATGGGAGGACAGCTTGTGTTTTTAATTGTTATAAAGCATTAGCTTTTTGAATCTTAAATGTCTACTATCTGACTCCCTCCCCATAATTTTACACAACTGTGAACATTCAGGATTAAAAGTGTTTAAAATAAATACCAATATTATCCATCAAAATAAACTGAATTCTGATAAGCCTGTTTATGTACCAGCAAAGATGTGTCAATTTTATATCTGTGCATGGATTCCCAACTTTTTCAAGCAATGAGCACATTTTCAATTAAAAATATTAATGGGACAAGAAATATCAAATGTTACTCAGTTTGCCTTATCATAACCTATAACAGTAATAAAAAAAATCCTAAACACACCTTTCCTCAGTATCTGGCCTATTGTCTGAGGAACATTGCCTCCTAAGTAGGAGCCCCTGTGTCAGGAGATACTATATTTATAAATTAGTGGTTACCATGTTTGATCTTTAAGTTTAAAATATGTATTGCAGATACACAATATCATAAAAATAGAGAAAAATGTTATGAAAAATACTAAGACAGAAATTTAAAACACTTAATTGTCATAATGCTGTTCACCAATTACATTCCACATACAGTAACCTTAATAACCTCAATTCAACTGGGCTGAGACCTACCTTTCCTTTTTGGGGAGCAGTTAGCCCCACAATGAGGTTTTCTTATTGAAAATGTGCCTCATAAAAAGCAAATTTGATTTGTATTTTAGGTATTTGCCTTACAAACTAACGCTATTTTATTTGCTATGTGCAGTGACCCTTTTGTTTTGTTTTTCTGATGGAACTGGCATGTTGCTTATTCTCATCTGTGCAAAAAATGTATGTGTTTCTTTGCAATATAGTAAACATTTTCTCTTCTTGTGATTAAATAAACTTATTGCATGAAGATTGATTTCAGGTTTCTGTTCAAAATGTCTAAAATTGAAAGATTCAACTCACAAAGGCTTTTAGAGTACATTAATCACTGTATGGCAAATCCCCAGAATCCCAAAGGATGTCTTTAAAGGTCATATTTCTGAATGTGGTGAGAGAGAGAGAAGAGGAGGTTAAATCTGGTATTTAATAGCATGGGAAACTACTGATTCTTTGCTAAAACAACTAATTCTTACCATTTTTAGACTCTTAAGTCTTGGGACTGCAGTTTCTCTCCAGTAGCACAAAGAGAACAATCTACAAATGATTTAAAAAAATCGTATCACAATAATTGTCACAAAATTCAAAAAGATTTTGGATCATTTGCTATACTGTTAGCTAAATAAATGCTTCAGAGGCTAAGACGAAAAGGCATGCAAATTATTCTATCAACATGTGCATTGATATAGCATATGTCTAAGTGCTTCAGTGGTCTAAAGACTTAAATATAGGACAAAGGAATCCCTGGTACCTGAATTTGCAAAGCCCTGTGCTATTCTTAGCACTCTGCACATCTTTGAAGTGCACCATACTTAATGGTTAACCCACTAGACAAGAGGACAAAAATAGATCTTTCTGTACTGAATGTAAAGGTTGTTCATTGTTTCCAGGCTTACTACCAGCTATAATTGTTTGCAATCAAGATAGCAAAAATAAGTCTCACTTTCATAAAATATGATCCAGTGTGGATATTTTTGGAAATAGCATTGCATTACGTAATCCCCTTCTCTCTTTTAAACACATACACACCAACCCACTCCCCCAATTCTTAACTAAGAAAATAATGAATGTCTAATGTTATACCATTTCATCTAAATGCTACATTTTAATTACAGTACTACAATGTAACCCCCACTTTACTTACTATGTACAATTCCTCTCTTTCATCACTGGTGGCAACATTAGTATGTATGGAATAAAATTTCTTATACTAATATTTATATAATTAAGTTTACATAGTGTGTTTACATATATACAATTTAATTAGTTACAACTTTCACACACATACATATTCACAAACACAAGACTGCAAGTTCTTATGAAGATTCTTGTATATAAACATTTCCTTTCAAAGGAGATCACTTAATCTGCATAAAACATTTAGAGTTTGGCTGTTTTTTTTAAATTGCTGCACATGCAAAAATGCAGGAGGTCACTGCAAGAATGACTGCTTTCTAAAAATATACCCCAGCAGTTTGAGAGGAATCCACTGTCAGGGCGGCGAAAAGGGAGATTCATTTTACAAGGGGGAGAAAATCCCACCGAGAGCCAGGCATGCAGGCTAGCACAGCAAACTGCTGTTGGTTTAAAAATTCATTTTTGTGATTAGCATTGCAAAAATGGGAGGTCACAGCTTCAGAAAACTCCTGCATATTTTCCCCATTAATGCATAAAAATGCTACTCCAAAATCCAGCCGTCAAGCAGAAAGAGTTAAGCAAATATGTATACTGCACGTTTCTCCTCTTCTTTAAGAAAGCCTATTTTTGAAATGTGGAGAGGGGCGAGGCAACTGATTTTGCTGCAGCAGAGTCCAGCCAAGGGCAAAAAAGAAATGAAAAGAAACAAAGAAAGAGAGGGAGGGGATGCAGATCTCTCCGAGCTGTGGATTGGAATTGCATATACTTACAGACAAAAGCCCCTGCTCCCTTTCTGTCCTTTCTACATGATCTGAAACACAAATGTGGATTAAAAAGGGGGCAGCGTGCTCCAAAAGGGAATTTATAGTTGGGGAGGGGGAAGTGGGGAGGGTTGGGGGTGTGGGGAAAGAATGAGTGCACCTCTTCCAAAGTGCAGCAGCCTTGGAGGGAAAAG